CCCTCTTACCACACGCTACTTCGGAAATTAAGGGAGTGCTTCTCAGAAGCTAATTAATTCTTGATTGAGTGCCATCTCTCGAGACGGATTGCCTTTTAATGGAGATTTTTCTTGAAATTTTTTAAAAAATTCTTATCTATTTCGACGAATTAAAAAATATGCAAAATATTGCGAAACTTTTTTGTGTATGCAAAGTTTCGATGCTTTGGTTTTATTTATTATTTTCATTGATTCTTAAACTGTTTTTATATATACGTGAGTGACGTTATTGATACTTTTTCGGAATTTGGATAATTTTTTAATTTCTTTTTTTTTAATTATTAAAATATTTAGCATTTGGTTGAATGTCCGCCAACTTCAAAGCGGAAGGTCTGGACTGTTGCGAATGATAAAAGATATGCAGCATCCAGCAGATTTTTTTTATTACTCTGTACAGTGTAACCCCATGGCGGCTATACCGTCGGACTAAGTTAGTTTATGGGGACTGGAGTATACGTAGACATCTCACGATCTAACCTTACCACGTCTAACCTAGCCTAGACCAGCCTTTCCTAAAGCTCTAGCCTAGAGCTGTGTAGGAGAAGTGCACTCCACCACGCTGCACGGACGTCTGCCTGGTATTGATCCTCGGCTCAGCTACTGGCTACCTTCACCCACTAATAATTCTTGTCAGTCTCCCAAAGTCTCGACGATCCAGACCCCGTATCCCCGGATCGGTCCTTTCAAGATGGCCGACGTGAAAAACACACGACCCCGTACAGAGCTATTTAAAAATACACGAAACTATACAACGCTAATATAACTTTCTCGAACAAGTGAAAGCTAAAAGAAAAAAAAATACAAGATAAAGTTTCAAAAAAAATTTCAAAAAATTTTCAAAAAAAAATTGTTGCTAAAAAACCGCCTAAATTTTCGCTAAATTACAAAAAAAAAAAAAAAAAAAAAAAAATTCTTAAACTCCCTAAGGCCCATACAAAAATGCTAATAAGCTTCAAGTAAAAGCCGCATCAATTCGACGGAAGACGGAAGAGGATCGAGCGCAAGGGAAATCATTCAAAGTGATTTAACGTGAATTCTAAGTAGCCTTAGTTCTGGCTGCACCTACAGTCGGAGTGATACAAGTTCCGCCACTATTTCACGCAGCCATCGGTACGAGACCGTTAGATTGCACGAAATCGATCTATCAGCCCCGCGCAGTGACTGGGCGAAGCGTAGAGAACGTCTGAGTAGCAGCGATCGTCGTGAAACATCCCCCTTTCGGCATCCCTGGATCCTCGTTATCTCAGCATCTACCCTAAGATCTAGCCTAAATCTAACGGAGCGTAGCTTGAAGCTTGGTTGAGGATACTTTAAGCCGGAATTCTCTGGCAGCGTCACACGCACAGCGTCACTGTCTTACGTCTTATTGCACTACGGATTCAGTCTTCTCTCCGATGAGAAATACTAGCGGCACGAGTATCGGTGCCTGGTATCGTATACTAGTACACCCTATAGCAGGTTGGCATTATTAGTAGCAGTGTTGGTAATAGGGCTAGTGGCTAAGGGATGGTAAAGATCGTACGGTAAGCAACGTATGTACTAGTATCGGCAGGGTAGCACTACTAGATACTAGCGCACTCGAAGTAACGCTAGTAGCAGTACGTAGATCCGCGTCGTCCCTTAACGACAGTGAGCGCCGCGACGCTAGGACGCGGGGCGTCTATATCACGACGCTGCAAAATGTATGTCTGCTGGTGATAAACGGAGCCAACCTCCTACGGCAGCCCTCTCTTTTACAGCAGTACCCCTACGGACCCCCAGCCCCCCCACCGTACTCTCTTCCGCACCCCTCAATCCCTCCTCTTCGTACTTCGTACGCGACGCGACGCGTCGTTGCACGTCGTCTGTTACTTTCCTCTTTTTGTCTTTCTCTCTCTATGCACTGGGGTAACCGAGTGTTCTTACGTCACGCTATCTTATGGCAGGTATATATGTATATATGTCCCAAGCCTAAAAATAGTTATTTTAACAAAATTCATAGACCCCTCTTGACACCTGACAATTATGTCAGTGACGCAATAATGGTGCATCGGGTCAAATTGGACGATTGGATTCCTCTTGTCCTCTTTGTTGTATCTTATTTGCTGATCTTGGATTCATCCCCTGGGAGGAAAGCTGTCGAGCCCCCTTGTAAAACTCGAGATTTCTCGTGCTGGATCCTCGTGCCAAAAATACATACTGAACTGCATTGCTACGTCGTGTTTGAATGGGTAGCTTTAGTGTTGGGGTCGTTTAATGCAGAAACACGAAAAATATGTGTGACGCGTGACGTTACATGCTGCCGTCAGAAATGTTACTGTTAAATATTCGAGGCTTGCAGTAATGAGGTGGTCATCGAATTACATCGAGATTCGTGAATGTACAAGGATATGTTTGCTGTTAAAAAAATTTTAGGATTGGAAAGAATTTTCGTTGTGTAGTTATATGCATTAAGATTTTGACTTTGTCAACTGGCATCACTTAGATGGTCGTTCATTGTGAAATAATTGTATAGACAGTAGGTTAGTACTGTATTGGTTATGCGTAACAAGTACCAACCTAGACGTCTTCTCCACTTGCAGCTATGCACGCCAGGTCGTTTGTCAGCAATTTATGGCTGCTGCCACTGGCTGGGGAAAAGGCTAAAGGAAGTTGGTATTCGAGTGTTCGCCAAGTGGGTACAAACGGCTGAAAGGAAAACGTAAACAAACGCGAGCGAACGATACGGGATAGGACGGGCGAAGGGGGTCGGGGTATACAGCAAGGCAAAGAGGGGTAGTCGGTAGCTCTCCAGCGAAAAACGAATAACCGGCAAATAGAAACCGCAAGATGATGCGCAACGCAGTAAACACTAGAAACTCTACCCAACCCTCCGTTCCGACGTTCTTTTCTTGCCTCCGTTACTTCACAGAAGTACCAGATCCGTCCGCACGAGAGCGATTGTCGCTCGGTGTCCATGCAAAACCACCACGGCTCGACCGTTGAGATGGATAAGCTCGTGAGCTAAAAATTCCCTAGAAGTCCCTGGATAATCCCTAGACGTACCTGGAACAAGGAAAAAGAAGTAACCAGCGACAGGCCTGTGTGAAATCTGGACAAGAAGATTCTAGATCATTGGGATATCCCAATGACAGTATCGGACTAATAATAAATATGTAGTAACGGTGGTAGTACTGGCAGTGAAAGGAACTATTGGAAATGTATAAGAATAGAGAACGGTTTGTGATGGCGTTTGGGGGAAAGGCGGAATGGGTAAAAGGGAACCGTCGGACACGAATGCGGGGTGGTAACGTAAGGAGGGAATCTTCATCGTCACGCTGTCTGCTGTGTGCTACTACCGAACACCTTCTGCCTTTTATAGCAGCGATCAGCCTTCGCAGTCTTCGTACGGCAAGATCGAGAAGCCACGCCAATGCAGGAAGGTGCGTGTCCGACGATTGTAGGTTATAGCCAGTGAGTAAAAATGTACATAGAAATTCAAGATACAGGCCAAAGTAGTAATATTAATCTCGACTCGTAATATCTCAATTGGAAACCCTGAAAAACATACTCCGAAATTTGACATTGTTCTCGGAGAAATAAGAAGAATTGGATCCTGCTGTCTCTCGTGTTTACCAAGCAAAAGGAAGACCTTGACAAAGCGAAGGCAATAGCGGCAGTGGCAAAGTCTTTTCTCGCTCCGCGCCACTGAACTTTTGCTATACCTACCGATATGGTTTTACATGCACACGTATCAATTGTTATTACACGAATTAAACAAAATTATCGTGAATTAAGTAAATTTCGTCGAAATCATTACCCAGACGCTTCGTACTGGTTGGGTTATATTTTCCAGCTGATTATCGTTGGTTAGGTGGTAATTGAAAAAGTGAGGTTTCTTTTTATCGTTTCGGTTCACGTGGACGTGCCAACGTGCGTTTGTTCGGTTTAATTGTCGGATGCATTACGGATCATTGGATTTAGAAAGAGTTCCTTGGGTACGGTTTATCCCAATGACTGTATTTATCTTGATTCGTTACGGCACACTTGCACAGGATAGCGCCTAACGCGAAGGCTATACAGTTTTCCAGCTAAATCTATCCCAGCCGGATTAGCCAGCTGGCTGTGTTGCTTGGCTAGTGGCTATCCGTATACTGTGCGTGGCCGATCTGTCCGGCAATTTTCTTAACTTTGCGGAACAGCAAACCGGCTCGAACAGGTTTTTCGCAATCGATTTGTTGCGCGCTCGCCATTCGGTAGCCTTCAGACGAATCGGTGCGTGTTGCAGGCCGTTGCGGAGGAACACGAACCGGTTCGAATCATCGAAACAATCAAAATCTAACAAATATATTTATTACGAGCATATCATCGAATCTTTGACCTTATCTAACGGCCATTACAAATCAAATAGTCTGCTGGCTAAGTAAGTTACAGGTATCGTTATGGAGGTAAAGGAGTAAGAAAATTTTTTCCTTTTATACGTCGATCGATCTTACTCGATCAACGACAAGACGTTTGATAAGAAGGTCAGATGCAAATTAATCGCAACTGGTAAATTGGACGACGTGAACGTACCTAAATTGTATTATACTTTCGATTTGGACGGATTTGAAAGGAGGAGTTTTTGGTACCATACTCACTATACACAGTCTACCACGTAGCAGACAGTTGAGCGCTGATACTCTGTCGGTAAGAATCTAAGAAAATTATTCTACCTTTATTCCATCACCTCTACGATGCGTTCTTGTTCCTTGCTATTAGCTTATACTCGATATGGATAATTCGTTGATTGGCGCACGGTAGGTGCGTGTGGTTGAGGTTTGTGCGTGCGATTATACATAGCAGGTAGTCGATGTAGATGACGTAGCGAGGCGAATATGTAGGTAGGCAAGCAAGCAGTCTCCTCCAGACGCCCGGCCAGTTTTTGCTGGTTTTAGAACGCAAAAATAACATTATGCTGACCAGCACGCAGGATCCACGACTCGTAGGCTTTTCTGTCTGGCTATAATAATTATAATAATCCAGGTAGAGCAGGTTCCACTCCATTTTTGTATGATATAAATTTTATGAATTTTTCAATAAATTCGTATGGCCTTATCAAAAATTTATTTCCTATCGATTTTTAGCAGTTGCGTATCTTTAAGTATTTAATGATTGCTTTTCTCTTCTCTGGTTCAAGTCTGTCAAGGAAAGATCTATTAGGCTGAAATAAATAAATATATATATATATGAATGTTGATAATGACTATGATAATTATGATGTGGTACCCAGGGCCGTACGCACCATTGAAAGTACCCCGCACCACCCGCCACTCTGGTACTATCCACTTTTCTTCGTTCCTTCTTTCCCATTCTACTCTCGGGCGTTCTTCTTGTATCTTAAGCCATGGTCATTCGTTCCTCGCCCTCGCTTCTTCTTACTACCCCCTCGGGGGGTCTCCACCGAATTTTTCCTCAGCGCCTAAAAGAAAGCCCATTTCTCTTGCGAAGCGGTTATGCAATTACGAATGAAATGCCGAGGGTGCCTGCGCGATGGATACTGCCGCGCTGTGTGTCCGTCTAGGAGATTAACCATTGAAACGATGAGAAAGAAAATTGCACGGTACCGACAATTTTAGCGTGAAGCCAGTCATGCGAATCCGTAAGGTGCGCGAGAACTGAACGCGAGCGATCGTCCATATTTACGGAAAGTTTCGTTAGAAGATTACATGAGCTCGTTATGCGCGATTTTATTCATTTTTTCCGTCTTTTTCGTTTTTTATTTTCTGTCACTGGAAATTAGCGGAAATTGCTTGTATCGATAGCTCAGGATATGCCTTTAATGCCAGGGACATACGTATCTCTACTGTTCATTACGTAGGAACGATCTTAAACATTTCCACAAATTTTCGTTGGGTTGTGATACTATTTATATTCAGTATAAAGTTTTTTTAAAGAAATTTTACGGAATATCGTTCTAGACAATTGATTTGTTTGAAGAAATAATAAAACAATATTGACTAGTGCAATACTTGTCTCTACTGGGAGGTAATAGAATTAAAGTCTCTTTAGCTCAGACCCCGTTCCAATTTCCTGTGTAATTTGTCTCAGATATTGGAAATAAAGTCGCAGTGGATATCAAATTAATTAAAATATCGTTTTTACTTAGAATTCAGTCAAGAGAGGCAACACTGCAGGAATTGTAGATAACAGTACCCGTGGCAAGGTGCTCTTTGGGATTTCCCAATTTTTCCCATCAGCCGAGCTGTGCATGATTGCGCCAGAAAAAGAAAAGTACTTAAGGTCATCCACATCTAGATCATACGGAAGGGTTCGTGTTCCAGATCGCCGGCGGTTTTCCCGACGAACAGTCAAAATCGTCGAGCCATACAGTAGCCACGACCGCGAATAAAAGATAAAACCAGAAAGATCGACGAAAGCCAAAAAAAAGAGAGAGGAAACAAAAGAAATAAAAAAAATAATAGCGAAGATCTTTAGAGACAAATTCTCAGACTTTCAGAAAGTACCTGATTCGTCCCGCTAGTCCCAGGAACACGAGGTCTCCCTAACCTCTAGCAATTTCCACAGGAACTCCTCCTGAAGCATCTAGCAGTGCGGAAACAGCAATGCAATTGTGTGCGAATTTTTCGCTGACACAACTTTTCCTCGATCCTGTAGATATAAGAATTGGATATCCTCCAGGATGTTGACTCGCACCACCCTTGTTCAATTGGTTTTACCCAGCTCGTCCGCTAACAGCCAACCAAATCGTCCGCCAGGTGTAGCGCGCCATCTACAAAACCGCAGCTGAACTGCTAAAGAGAAGAAGCACGTAGTGCATGCTGGTATCGTGAATGTCAATGGCTGCCAACTGCTACTGGTTTGCCGCCGTTAGCCGAATAGGCTAAATGAATAGGATCCGATTTACAAGTCTCGAAAGGATTCTCGACAGTAGACCGCACTGGATATCGCGTGTTTAGTGAAATACAGAATCTGCGAGGGCGAATGAGCGTTCAGGTCCTGCGTGATCGAAGGACGCGACCGTTAGGTTAGGTATTAACCTGCGAGGATAGGATAAACCGAACGCCGCCGTACTACAGTTCTTTCTCTACGGGAAGGCCATTTCGTATCAACCATACGTCAGGTACGCACTGTTCATTAAAAACGTTCTAACCTGTCTAAATATCACTCTCACGACACTGATTTTCATCACCACCATAATCCTTGACAAATCGAACAATTCTTCTGCCGCTGGTTTGACTAATCAAACACGCCGTCGTGTTATTGTCGTACCGTTACAAAACCGACACGAGCGAGCGAGCTTCGCCAGAGTTGACTGATTACGCGTTACTTTTAGTGAAGTTTGCTCGGTGCCTCGTCACTTCCTGCGAACTGCTTAGAAAACCCAACAAGGTTTTCTAACGAATACCATCGTTTCTATCTTACCTCTAGCTCCGTCGGTATTTCCCCCATTAATTATCTTTAGAGTCAATACTCCCATCTTACGTATACCACTTCTTTCCCATTTCTAATGCCTAATACTGTCATCAGTTTGTCCTTACATTTATTTCCAATTAATTTATACTTTAATCGTATCGTCTAACCCTCACCTTTTGAACGTCCTATATTCACCAGTGGGACGTATCACGCATACTGCTCCGCGTTGCCGCCGCATCGCGCATGCAACATTAGTTATTCAACGCAGCCGGGCATCGTTTTAAGCCAGGACTACATCGGCAAATCGCAGATTCATTCCGCGACGTTTGCGAAACTAAAGGCATTCGTTACAGGGTATAATATTGCAAAAAATAATTTTTATACACGATCCATAGATCCTTTTAATTCTTCGCACGAACAATCTCCGTGGCATACGACTTACGTAAATTTTATCTGAAACAAAAATTCCTTCTTTTTTTCCCTTAATCATTGAAATTACCTTTAGTTACAATTGCGAATTATTATATGCAATTATCATGCTTATCTTCCAGTCCGGCTTTCCAACGCAAACTGTACACGTACACGCGTATACGGTTCGATCGATTTTTCTTTATCGGCGAATGCCGTGCATTACGCCAATTCCAGAATTTATCTGAACTGCCATCGTTATTGCCTTTACACTGCAATAACTATCTTTCCAAACTTTGCTCACAATCGTCCACCTGTATGCGGGAAACGTATGTATTATCAAGCCTTATTATTACCTTGTAAATGATATGTTGAGGTAAAGAAAAAAAAAGTAGTTGACATTCAAGAAGGAAGGAAGCCTCTTACGAATCTTTATTGAAAATATTCATTTTACGATGACGATCAGTACACGTAGCGGGACGGGCATATAAATGGTCTATCAATCTGCAACCATCTTTCAACGTGCTTGACGCGATGCGTATCGTAATACCAGGCGTCGTTACGCAATGAGCGTTACGGAATATACTATATGCGTGATTACTAATTGCCAGATCCTCGGACGGATTTGCGATTTTATCATGACCGGAAGCGACGTGCACTGCTATTTCACGAAGCCATTCGAGAACCGCTTCGGATCGGGCAACGTCGATAATTAATCTCGCTCTCCTACGTCACACGGAACGATGTCCGTCGTTACGATTACATAAGAAAAAAATTTTTTACTTCATCTCCCAACTACGAAATTCGTGACACTCGTAAGAAAAAAAAAGATTTTTACGCGAGTAATAAAATTTTACCGAAAAATCGCGTATGCTAATTTAAAATTGCAGGAAGTGTAGAAAATTTGGATTTTAGGTATATTTAACATTTTTTTAATGAAAACCACCCCTCGTCAAATTTCTTAACAGACGCGCAGTATTAGCATATTGTATTTTCTAGGATCATCCCAGGACCGATAAAGGGTCGAACGAAGCTGGGTAAAATTATCTTATAAAATCATAGAGGGTGCTACGGTCGAGGTAGATGGAATTTTCGTAAAGTTACCTTCTTCAAGCTATTTCGAATAACCCTCTGGCACTCGAAGGAGTTAATCGAACGGGTTTTGAATAGCTCGGTTAGGTATTTACACTTAGCCCGGCACCTCTGATCTACCTGAACGTCTAGCTTGGCAAAGGACTCGCGCCGTTCTAGTCCTCGCTTTGTAATAATGGCGAGGCCACTTCGGCCAGATAGGATCTCTCTGGCAACGTGCGTGACAGCGGACTGACTCACGCACGCACGCTCCCGCACGCATCACGACCCAAGACTCGCAGAGGCTTACCTGCTCAGTTTGAGACTCTGTTTTACTCGCTTCCCATATCACGTGTTTCAACTAGACTCTAAAGGCAATAGTTTCCCTTGCTAAACATTTTTACACCTTCGTTCACCTTCGGCGAGATCCAAGCGATACGAATCCGAGAACGGTCGCACGATTTTGCAATTCCATATGAAAACCATAGGAGTCTCATCCATCTGACGTTTCTACTCAGAATAATTTTAGCACCAAGATATTGGAATGTTAATAAACGCATTGAGCGATAATAATAAAATATAACGGTCTATAGTGAATTTTCATTATCGACTTGATATAGAGAAAAAAATGTATCGACATAAAAAAAAAATGAAAAAAAAAATTTTTTTGCAAAATTATTTCAATATGGGAGAAGGATCCAACTACGGTCACGCCGTGCGTGCTATGCGCGTAGGCGTGTATTCTCCACGGAATAGTGCCTTCAGCAGATAACCTCGAAGGAGGGTACTCTATTCAGCTCTACGCTCTGGACCATGTACAACGTCTATCTATTCAGGACTTTTCTGAGTGCGTAACCTCCAACGCAGTTTCTACGACGGAGCCGCGTGACGCGGCAGCTACGCATTAACGTGAGGCCACCCCCGCGACTACCATTATCTCCGAGAGGAGAGAGGAGAATTTGCCTGTAGTTCGTTCTACGTATTGCGTATGTACAGTCGAGTGAAGAATTCATGAGAAGCTTGACGAGGTAAATATAATATTTGAATTTCCCGCCAATACCAAATGACGAAATATTACGTTATACCATAGGAACGTCGGTATAGACCGAGAACGAGTGAGACGTAATATTCGTAATAATAATTTCCTTATGATTTCTTACGGCTGTATCTACCGAGCGTCACGGTGTCTGCTGCAACGTCCCGACTGAAAGTGCATCGAAAGTGCACTCCCTTGCTTAGCAACGTTTACCCGAGCCAGGCAAGGAAAAACTGATGTTATTAAGCCGCGGCAAAAGTCCTTCGTCCTTCGTCCTTACGTCCCTCGTCCTCGCCCTTCTTCAGCCATCATTCCTCGCAGCGAGTCCGCTAGATTAGTTCATTACCCGGCCCCCGGCGTGTCTTCTGTTTTTGCCCGAGCGTGGAAATAGATTTGTTGCAAGATCGGCGCTCTCGCGTGCTCTGCATAAGCGGCGGCTGTGCTCGCTGGCTAATAAACAAAGCCGGGAAGTCGAGAGTCTAGAGCAACGTCCGTTCGATACTACAATACGCCGGTAGATTTCGGGATACGCCGTTAGGTACCTACAGGAACGGCGTACTGCGGCTTCCGATCGTAAGACAGAGAGGTTAGGTCGCGCCGTGGCTCCAACGTCTTGGGATATTAAAGCCGCGTTTCTAGCGTGCGCCAACGACGTTTCGATACTGCGCGTAAACCCTAACGGCGCTCTTGGCTGCTAGGTTAATTTAAGTAAAACGCACCGAGTTATCGACTTCGTAAATCAGCGTGGCAGCAGCGCACAAGATAAACACCCGCGAAGCGTCCTCGCTCCTAACCTCCGGGCCCGTAGCCACTGGCACTCTGTATAAATTTTCGAGCCTCGTAAAATTATGTTAAATGCGGGAAAATTTATAACGGTCCAGCATCTAATCCCGGGACGCCTCGGCGGCTGCTTCTGGATGAAGTTTCCTTTACCTTTGGCGACGCTCGGGAATTACCTGACGCCTCCTGGAAGATTCCAGCCTCGTAGCTTTCGGCGATGCTAGTCGAAGGGCTGGGCGTTTAGGGCAAGGCTGTGCACGTGTCACGTAACTAGCCTCGATAGACATAATACACCACAGGCTGAAACGCTGAAGATCAACCTGCCGGGGAACACCCAGGGTTCGGTGCTGGACGGTTGGTAGATAAATTTATTAGGTTCGTGAAAAAGTTGGAAAAATCGGTAAACCATCGACGGATAAACTATCAAGTTGATGGCTCGTAAAGGCGGCCTCCGCAAGGCTAATTGCCGCTTCAAAAACTCAGCCAGCAGCCACGTCCGCAGGAGGGACGGGCACTTTGTGCTAGAAGCGCAAAGAGCGTAGAGGCTTATGGGAGGCGTCGAAGGTCGAGGAAGATTTTTTATTTTCATTTGTTGCCTCCCTTCGAACCGGAAGTTGGAGTCGGTACCGAGGCTCGCGGAATTACCGAAGAGTTTGATCATTTGAAAATCTCACTCGTACCGGATATAAGACCCGTATAATTTTCATTTCCACCCTTGGGCCAAATTTAATACACGTTTTACGTATAACCTGAAAATCCACACGGCCGGGCGAAGTCTCGTGCGTCCCGCGGAATTTATCGAAAGAAAATGGCCTCCCTTCTTTTACGGCCTTCGGAATTTTACCCCCGGCCCGTTTATAGGCATTTCACGACCGAAACCTGAAGCATTTTCAAGCCGGCCGTAATACGGTTATCCGTGGCGTTGGGTTCAACAGCGCCACTCACCCCATAGCCATTCGCAGGAGAGAGGGAGAAAAAAGAAAGAGTACAAAAAAAAAGGAGACTGCCTAGAAGGTCCAGTTTATTTTTACAAAGTGCATATTATTATCGATTATGCTTTTCGACGTGGAGCGACCACCGCGTATCGTAGCAATAGCGTAACACAACCCTCTATAACAACAACAACAAAAAGCGGCCGTTTACCTCTTTATAAATAAAACTCTCCGACGATCAGCCATTTAATAAGTCTTTGACGTAAGGTAAAAACCTGCAGCATCCCAGCAACGAGGATTATAAATAATTCAAAGTGCATGATATCGAGGTACCAACCTAAAAAAAAGGTAAAAAAAAAAAGAAAGTTACCAATCGAAATACTTTTTCATCAATCCTCTCAAAGTGATCTCGCCTAATTCCTACAACCGGAAGCTGTATAACGCGCCATTAACTTCCTGTCGTTTATACCAGGCATACGGAGTGTCTTGGAAATGTCCAGGGGAGGACGACAGTGACGTTTTTACGAGCTGTAGCAAACTTTACCTTCGTACTCTCCAAAGTACCTATCCCGCAATCAGAGAAAGAAAGGAAGAGCAGAAAGGTCTATAAAGACAAATGCAACAGAGTATCGGATACGCATAGTCGGACCAAGAAACTCCCTCGAGCCATATACCGTATTCAAGAGAGAGAATTACACAGAGAAGCATATAGACGCAT